GTCCCAGCCAATTACTTGAGTTTTAAACTCTTTGTTAAGGTAAGAGCCTGCTTCCAATGTGAAGAATGTACTGTTCCATGCTTTGGGGGTTTGTACAGCTGTTTTCCAAGATACTTCTAGGGACCTGTAAATTTTCAGTTCTTCCAGGGTGGTATGATAAGGGGCAGGGTGTTTCCTCTCCACCACCACAACAAGCTCCACCAAGCTAGTGCTCCTCCTTGCCCCAGGACCGCCCCTCAGAACTGTGACCCCGATCCAAGCACTGGCAAAGGAAGAGATTCCTGCCTCAGCACTGGCAAAGACATCCCTGCAATCCTCCTCTGATCAGCCACTCGATTCCCCCTCAGTCTGTGGGCCAGGAGCTCAGAAGGCTGCTGCTGCCCCAGAGGCCACGCTCAGGACTTGCAGCTGAGACCTAGTTCCTTCTCTCACTGCAGTCACAGACTTTTCCCACTGACCTTCTAAGTTGTCTTTGGTGTTTTTGGGTTGAGAAGTCTGGACACCACCATAGCTGCCCATGATTCAGTCCTCTAAGGCCTGCTCCAGGGTCGCTGTGGCCTGTGCACCCATGCCAAACTGCGCTCCTCTCCCCGCCCAGTGCAATATACCTTTCTGATCAACCATCCAGGTTGTCTTGGGCTGGAAATTTGTTTTGCTCTGTCTTTTTGCATTCTGCTGCTTTAGAATTTGTTTAGAGCCATTTTTTACAGGTATTTAGCGGGGTTTGGGGGAGAGCTCAAGCAAGTCACTGCTTTCACTGCACCGTCTTGGCTCTGCCCCTTAGAACGTCTTTCTCCTGTCACCCAAACTGCTTTCTTTCTCCAGGGAATCTTGGAGCTTGGTAACCACATTTATGCAAGATTAAAGCTGGGGTTCCTTTCCTCATATCTTATGGAACCTATCTGTAGCTTCAATGTCTCCTGGCAATTTCCTTTTTATGAAATTTTGAAATATTGTGTTCAGTTTTACTTATTTTCATAATGTCCAGAACAAGGGAGATATATGGTGAGAGGAAAGGAAATCATTCCACATAAATATCAATTAAAGTAACTAGAGGTGCTAAGCCCACAGAAGACAAGTCATGGAGGGAGGTGGGTTATAACAGCAATCTTCAAATATTTGAAAGACCATCTTATGGAAAAAGTATTAGATATGTTCCACTTGGCCCCAAGGAGTTGAAGTATGAGCAATAGGGTAAGAGTTGCAAAGAGGAAAATTTATAGGGTCATAAAAAGTTAAAGATCTCAGAAGTCATCTAGTCCAGCCACCTCATTTTAGGGAAGAAGAAATTGAGATGTAGAGATGTTAAATCTTTTTCTTGCCTGTGTTATGACATTTGCCTGGAAGACCAATGATTCTTATATCCTTTTTAGGATCTTTTTCCAGGTCAATAGCATTTCATTGTAAAGATTTCATGTGTTCTTTCAATTTTATTGTCCTTTGACTTAAATAATTCTCATATTGAATTTTGTATTTCCATCTCTATCATTCTTTTTTATTCAAGATATATACTGCTTTGCTAATGTTTCCACATTCTATTCTAACTCTCATTTCAAGTTTTCTTTTAGAGCTCTTAAATTTTATTTAAAGCACTTACTCAAGGTCACACAAGTACTAAGTGGAAGTTATAAGATTAAAACTCAGATACCATGGCTCCAAGTTCAACAAAAAAGTTCAGCATTCTTTCCTCCTTTTAGGTGTGATATAAGGAAAAAACTAAAGTGGGCTACCTTAGGAAGTGGTGGGTTTCCCCCTTCTTACAGGTCTTCAAACAGATTTTGGATGATAATTATCAGTGATTTCATGAAGAAATTCTTGGTAAAAAAAAATTGTTCGATAAGAATGAGATTTAAGGTCCCTTCCAACTCTGAGATTTTATAATTCTGCTCAGTTATCTCCTATAGGAGCAATAATGTCTAGTACATTGGACAGCACCACTTGTAAGAGTGAGGCAGAATAGTTAAAGCTATGCAATAATGAATGTGAAGCCCAGACATGGAGCTGTCAGTGAAAATGGGATTGGCTTATGGTAGGTGGTATCTGAGGACAGAGAGAACAGTCAGCAAGGACACCAAAACTATATGACGTGTATCCTTTGGCCAAAAGTGCAGAACCACATCTAGAGATTCCAGACAGGCAGAATAGCCAAAGCAAGGAGATAAGGAAATGTGAAACATGCCCAATGAGTGGGGAATGGTCTGGGCCAACTGATGAGATGATGACAACATATCTAATTGACAAAACCTTTCAAATGTCATTCAAGAGAATGGCATGGGTGGTATGGAATGTTAGAATGGATTAAGTTTTTCTAGTATTCATTTGTTCTTCTTTGGCACATATACAAATGACGAATATTTATTGGCACACATAGTGTGAACAAAGCACCGTGCTAAACACAAAGCTGTACAAGACTCTACCCAGTCCTCAAATAGCTTGTTATCTAGTATGATCAGTGCATAGTCAATCAATCAAAAGATGGTTGAATGTGTATCTCCTCTCTTGCCTATCATTCTAAACATATCATAAACTTAAATTCATCCTGAAACTTTGCATTCATTCTGTAATTGAGAGCAGCTAAAGAGAGGTAGTCATTCATCAAAGATTTCTTTGGTTCAAAAAAATACCTCTCCACCCTCAAGCAGATTATTGCAGGAATAGATTTTGTGTCTGAGTGCACATCTGACTTGTTGGGTTAACCTGACCAAGCTTCTGATCCACATGAAATCTTGTGGGTTAAATGAAATAAAGAAAGATCATGAAAAATACCCAAACCTTGAGGGATCCTGGGGTTCCATAACTAGATCCCACATATATATAGATATAGATATATATATACATATATAGATATAATATCTATCAATACATCCATGGACTTATGGGCTTGTCCCCAGAGACCACAAAATACAGGCCATTACACTCAAGAGAAACACAATGTGAGGACAACAATCAACAAGAATGTAATAAATGCCTACTATGTACCGGGTACTGTGCTAGGTTCTGTGGATGCAGACAAAAATGAAACAGTCCCTGCTCTTAAGAAACCTATATTCTATCACGTAAAACAACATACACACACATAATTAAATATAAAATATAGGGGATAGAGACAAGACCTGTCATTTAATTGGGAACTCTCAGATGAGAAAACTTTTCTGTAAATGCAGACTGATGCCTTCTCTGTATTTTTAGTCTTAGAGAGTTGTCCAGAGCAATGAGAGGTTAAGTGACTTACCTAAGGTCATACAGCAAGCCTGTGTCAGAATCAGGAGTTGAACCTATATCTTTTTGGTTCCAAAACTGGCTCTCTATCCACTAAACCACTTTGTATACAAAATATATACAATATAAATGCAAAGTCTATTCTGGACATAATGAGTTTGAGGTGCCTATGTGACATTCAGTGGGAAATGTTTAATGGGCAGATGGTGATGCAGGACTGGATCTCAGGAAAAAGACTAGGCCTCTATACTTAGATCTTGCAATCTTCATAGAGAATGATAATTGAACCCATGGTGGGCTGGTAGACAAGAACACTTCAATCTTCAACTGAGAAAAAGAACATCAAAAAAAGAAGATAACTTAGGACAGATCCCTGAGACATATATGAACTGATACTAAGTGAAGTGAGCAAAACCAGAAGAACACTATACAAAGTAACAGCAGTCTTGTACGATGATCGATTGTGAATGACTTAACCATTCTCAGCAGTACAAAGATCCAAGACAGTTCTGAAGAACTTATGATGAAAAATGCTATCCGCTTCCAGTGAGAGAACTGAGATGGCATCTAAATGAAGATCGAAGCATACTATTTTTATTTTCTTAATTTTTTTTGGTCTTTTTCACAACATGACCAATACGGAAATATATTTTGTATGACTGCACATTTAAAGCCTATATCAAATTGCTTGCCATCTCAGGGAAGGCAAAAGAAAGGAGTGAGGAAGAGAATGTGGGATTCAATTTTTTTTAATGAATATTAGAAATTGTTTTTACATGTAATTAGAAAAAAGAAGGAGCACCTAGGTGGATAGAGTGGATAGAGCTCTGACCTTGGAGTCAGGAAGACCTGAGTCCAAATCCTGCCTCAGACATTTGGCACTTAATAGCTATGTGACCCTGGGCAAATCACTTAACCCTGATTGCCTCACCAAAAAGCAACAAAAAGAGAAAATATTTTTTTAAATGTGACATCTTATAGTACTTGTGTTTTACCAACCCTCAACCCCTACCTTCTATCTCATGTGCTGCTTAAAATGCTGTTAACAGTTGCTAGCAGAAGTCACCCAACTGCACTGACTGGGTCCACTACAAATTTGTGCTATCTAATGTCACCTGGGCCTTTATTGCCACAAGGCAATCCTTTCACTCTTCCCTAATTGGATCTATTTCGCAATCCCCACAGTAAATGTTCCGCACTCTCTCTTCCCTACTTGAGTCTCTCACACCACCCCTCTCACTTCCCTCTCAGGAGCGTACTTTCCTTTGCTTCCCACTATAAGGGGAAGAGGAGCAAGAGAAGACAAAAATGTTGAGTCAGAGCGATAGTCCATACAGCTCAATATGCAGACTTGGCTGGCAGGACCAAGGAATGGTTTGTGGGAGGAGGAAGATAATTAGTACCATGACTTCATTCTCAAAATTGAGAGATTCAATTATTTCATGGAAAGGCAACACAGATTAATGGGAAAAGCCCAAAACTTGAAGCCATAAAACCTGAGTTTGAATCCTACCTCTGTGACTATATGACCTTGGATAAGTCACTCAGTTTGCTCATCTATAAAATGGGGCAGCTGGAAATGGATGACTTCTACAATCCCTTCCAGTTCAAGATCGATGGTACTATGTTGACTTGCTCCCCTTGAGTAGCCATTTTGGATCATCCTTCAAAGCATCTAAATGTTCCCTAGGCTGTTTAAAAACTCAGCCTCACATGGCACCTTCAGAGCCCTTTTTAATTTTTTCCTTTGCAAACAGAAACAAAATAATAAAATTTTCAGCTTCCGGGTCTGTCTGATGGCAGACTAAGTCTGTAGCCCCAGCTGCGGGGTTTATGCACTGACTGCAGGGGCCCAAGGAGCACTGTGTCACTGCTGCACAGAAGTAGGTGCCTGAGTCTACAGGCTGGGAAGCTGAGATGTGCAGAGAGAATTGTTTGGCCTCTTTGTTAACGCTGATTGTGAATCGTCCTTCCTCATCACCGCTTGAATAGCCTGCTATCCGTAAAACAGGGCCTTTCCCAGGAGACTGATGATACCATAAAAAGTAGCTGGCAATACTATCCGTGTAATTGCAGTTAAGAGTGGCACTGTCTCCCTCCTGGACCCTCAGGAACTGTGTCTGCTCTACCTTCTGCTGGCAGCTCACCCCTGTGCGGAAAGAGACATGAGGCCTTGGTCACTCAGTCATCACCGTCTAAAATTTACAGTGTTTCCCACAATTCCCAAAGGAAAGCCCAGAAGTACTAGACTGAGCCTCAGTTCCTCCAGCTCATCCTTGGGAAGTTTGCCCCTGGTCCAATAAATGCCCCAACTCACAGCCCAGATGAAGCCACAGGATCAGCACAGAGATGCTCAGGATAAAGATGTTCTCCATTCTTGGTTGCCTTCAGAATCACAGATACTCTGGGGTTACTAGCCAGAGATTCCCCAACTACTGAGTTGGCATATTCTGAGTAGTACTGTTTCTTCTCTTACTTGAACACACACACACACATACAGAGTCAGCTTTCAGCCAGTCAGAAACAAGTACCATATCTAGTGAGAACACACCCGCAACAATCCATTCAGAAGTTAGACATAATGATTAGGGGCTCCAGGGAAATGGAAACACTGCCACCTTCTGGCCTTCTGGTCACTTCTTTTTTGAAGTGACAAACAACTGAAAATTAAGGAAGTACTCATCAGCTGGGGAATGACTAAACAAATTATAGTTTGTGAATGTAATGAAATACTATTCTGATGAAAAAAATGAAAAAGAGATGATTTCAGAGAAACATGGGAAGACATTAGAATGAATATAGTGTGAAGTAGAACCAAGAGAACAATTTATTAATGTTATTGTTCAGTCATTTCAGTCATGTCTGAGTCTTCATGACCCTATTTAGTTCTTTCATAACATTAATATTGTAAAAATGAATAATTCTGAAACACTTTGAAAGTCTGATCAATGAAATGATCAAACATGAGTTCATAAGACCGGTGAAGAAGAACCTCATGGCAGAGAGATGATGGACTAAAATGCAAAATGAGAAAAGCAGTTTCAGATGTGGCCAACATAACTAGTTTACATAATAAAAATGTTCTGTACTTCTTTTTCTTTCTTTTCAGTGAGTGATGGAAGATGGAAGAGAGGCGGGGGAAATGAATGCTTGATCATTGAAAAAAATAAATGTTTACTTTAAAAAAAAAAAGAGAGAAAATTTATCCTCTGTTCTCAGTTCATCATATGCCCAGAGGGAAAAAAATGACTTCACTTTTGACACCTTCTAAATACAGGAACAGAGTAAGTAAAAGTCCCCCTTCAAACAAATGGGACCCAAATTCTTTTGGGGTAAATGGGGGGACATTGGCTGGCATTTGATGTTTGCTACGAACAGTAGGTGAATGGCCTATAGTCTGGAAGACACAATTCTGACAAAAAGGAAACTGCAGGGCCCAGATATGACAGGACAAAACATCCTTATCTCTGTTTAGATTCAGATAATTCCATTTTCCAACCATGCAGTATCAAATCCACTTCATAGCCAGATGGGTAACATTCCTTTTCAAAAGAACATAATGGGGAAACTGAGCCAGGAGGGTCCCATCTTAGACCGAGGCTAAAATTTTCCTCTCAGCTTTTCCTGATGTTGACTTCCCACCAGTATCACATTCTCTCTGAGTAGCTTGTGGAATTTCTCTCAGATGGTGGATTATTAGTTATCGATGGATAGATATTCTTCATCCAATTGGTTTTCCCTATGTGAATGAATATATCCATTGTGGAATAGTTCTTGATCTTTTATATTCGTGTTAAGTTCCTATATATTTTGGTTACCAGCCACTCAGAGATATTTAATGCAAAGATTTTTCTCCCTTCAACACTTTCCTTTTTTAAATCCTAGCTGTATTCATTTGGTTTGTGCAAAAACTTTCAATTTCATGACATTGAAATTATCTATTTTACCTTTCATGATTGATAATCTTCTTCTTACTTACTGTTTTAAAAGATGATGTCATACATTTTCTTCCACGTTTTAAAAAGATGTTCACCATAGGATCATCCGTCTAGAATTGTAAGAGACTTTAGGGGCATCGCCCTCATTTTACAGATAAGGAAATCAAATCCCAGTTCTGAGACCCAGACTGACCCAAGGTCACATAAGTAGGAAGAGTCAGAAATTATATTTGAACCCAGATCCTCTAAAACTTGAGTGGATGGTATGTACATGGAAAGTGGGGTCCAGATGCAAGAGATGTTGTTAGGATCAATAAGAGGGAAGCTAATTTAGATGTGGGGTTTGAGAGATGAGTCAACATGACTCTAAAGTTGTAAAGCTGAGTGACTGGAAGGATAGTGAGGACATAAAATGGAAAGTTTGAAGGGGAAATGGGTTTGGATGGAGAAATAAAACTAATTTTGTTTTGGACATATTGAGATTAAGATACGTACAGGACATCCAGGTGAATGTATTCAATAATAAAGTAATAAGGGACTTGGTGTTTGGGGGAAGGGGAAGAACTTAGAGCTGGATATGTAGAGACAATAAGAGAACCAATGTGAACTCATGAGTTCACCAAGGAAGAGAAGGTAAGAGGGCCCAGAATGGAGCTTTGGGGAAATAACCAGGCTTAGTGGATAAGAGAAGGGTGGTCTAGCAAAGGAGAGTGAAAAGGAATAGTCAGGCAGGTAAGAGGAAAACTAAGAGAGAACAGTGTCACAGAAGCAAAGAGAGGAGAAAAATGTCCATGAGGAAGATATGATCAACAATGTCAAGTAATAATGATGATAAGCTTCAAAACCTGGAAAAAAATTCAGAAGAACAAACATTCGGAAGAGGACATTGAAGGAAATAGGAAATATTTGCAACTAACTGTTCAAGTATGTCGGTGTGTATATGTGCGTATGTGAGTGCATGCGTGCATACACACATATATATACATGTGTATATGTATGTTTCTAGATGTGTGGTTTGATTACTAAAGGATAATCTCAGTATGGAAAATATCTTCATTGAGGTATATCAGCAACTTATTTAAAGCTTAGAGTCATTGAAAGCTATATAGGTAATTGAAGGATTGAGTGACTTGTCCATGGTCACACAGCCAGTTGTCAGAAGGAGAATTGAACCCAAGACTTCGTCCTTGAAGGAAGATAAAAATTCTGAGAAGCAAATATGAAGAGAGAGAGTGTATTCCCAGCACAGGGAGGTGGCTTGAGCAAATTCACTGAAGCAGTTGATGAAATATTTTGAGCTCAGGAAGCAGGTAACAGTCCAGTCTTGATGGAACACTGAGTGCTTAAAGGGAAGTAGTGTGAAATGTTTAGAAAGGTAGGTTTGAGTAAACAGCATTAAATGCCAAGTTGAGAAGTTTTTATGTTTTCCTTGGAGCAGCCAAGGGCCATACTATAGCTACTTCCCTAGCTAATGATATCAGACAAATCTAAGGAAGAAATGGATTAATTCTGTACCTGATTAGAACATGGGAAAGAAGAAGAAAAGGGACAGGGGTCTGTTCTAATCCAAGGTAGTTTCAGGGAAGCCATCTGTGGGGGCCAGACACCAAAACTAGTCTAGAATATTTTCAAGGAAACAAGATTAGTTCTAAGGAAAACAAAGAGACATATGCCTCCCTTAGGGCAAGCTCAATGATCCCATTTGTCCCATGACCTACAGGACATTCATAACAGAGCAATGGTGTAAGGAGTAAAGGAATCCAGATCTGAATATCCTACCATTTACAATGAGATATAATCAATCTGTAGTTGTAAGTAACCATAGAGGTCGTCTAATAACAATAACTAATAATAGTTAACATTTATAGAGTGCTTACTATGTGCCAGGAACTGTGCTAATAACTTTACAATTATTATCTCATTTCATCCTCACAACAGTCTTGAGAAGTAGGTGCTATCATCATCCTCATTTTCCAGTTGCAGAAACTGAGGCACACAGAAGTTAAGCAGCTTGCCCAAGGTCACATAGTAAATGTCTGAGGTCAGATTTGAACTTAGTTCTTCCTGACTCCAGACACAGTACTGTCTCCACCGCACTACCTAATTTCCTCCAATCCCCTCATTTTTCCAGAATAAGAAACTGAGATCCTGAGAGGCCAAGTGACTTGCCTAATATCACAAGGTAGTAAATGTCAGAGTCAAGATTCAAAGGTAGGAATCCAGTGTGTGTTTCTGAGCATCCTTAGCCAATTTCCCATCTCACCCCAGTTAGCATGTAGAAAGGGAAGGAGTGTGTTTGTGTTTGCATTCGTGGGTGTGTGCATATGTTTAACTTTAGCCAAATGTTATCTAGAAGATTTGAGGATAAGAATGTTTTTGAGCAGTATGGCTTTTAGATTTTGCTCACCCAGGTGAGGAGGAGGTCATTTTCTTATAATAAAATGGCTTTATTTGTGATATATCCACCCCGTTCCCTGAAGTGCTCTGCCACAGTGACTGGTTCTGTATGAGTTTGCACATCTCATTCTTGGGTTTGTGCTGCAGGTGGGAGAGACCTACTCAGCACTGGTGTTTTTGTATTGGCTCTTCTTGTCACTCTTATCACTGTGGGTGTACTGAAAGCACAGAAATACATTGCTGAGTCCCCTAGTTGAGAAGCTGAGATGTTGAGATTGATGAATTTCTCAGTTTTCTGGAAGTTCACTGAGTAGCGGCCCTTCCACATGTTCTCTTGGCTGTAAGAATCCTGACGAATAAGAAGAATCATCTCTCCAAAGGGACACTGTTTGTACCAGAACAAAGAATAATTAGGTTCACTGGTTTCATACTTGCAGTTCAGAGTCACAGTCTTCCCTTCCTGTCCAGACACTGTTGATTGCTCTTGAGTGACCTTCTGAGCTGTGCTTATTCCTGCAGGAAAGAGGAGACAGAAAAGATGGAACCTCTGATATGACCCATTGAAAGGCTGTCAGGAACATCCCAATTTAAAGAATTTTAATCTCTTTCCATCCAACTTCTCTGAAATCTTTGACACATAAAATCAGTTTCTCCTATCTCTAGCCCCTGATCCCTGAAAGGTAGCTCAATCCCCATGTCCAAGTAGTCCTTACCAAATAAAATGGAGACCACAATTGTCCATAGTAGATTTTGCAACAGCATGTTGGATAAAATATCTCTGGTTTTACCTTGAAGCCTACAACTCAGCTCTGCTCTGTTTGTCTGACAGGGCTCCATGTAGAGGCACTGCTGTTCCAGAACAGGAAATGGGGTTTCTGGGTTGATCATGATTACATCTTTAATGCCACACTTTCTTATACACAGACTGGAAAGTCTGGCCAAACTTAAACCTCCATTCAGTCTCATTCTTTTTCCCTAGTAATTAAAGTGGATAGCATATGTATTTGTCAATATATATCAATAAACTTCAGTATTGAAGAGGTTGTTGAAAGGGGATACACTACTCAGTCAGCCAAAGGAAAAAATATACAGTCATTTTCATCT